ATCCGCCTACAAGAAAAAATTGTTGAAATGCGTTATCCCGTGGATCCCGAGAATACCGAGCGATTCAATGGCAAGGAACAGTAAGTAGGGAAGGGTCGATATTTTTATCGGATATTTTTACGTAGGCACCCGTAGCACGGAGGAAATTTACCAGTGAAATCGACTGGAAACGAGGCTTCAGCAGATATCACGGTATATCGGGGGCCATTGAATGGCGTCCGTTCAGTTTCCCATAGCCGGGATATTAAGACCTCGTTAACGCGATAAACCGGGCTAGTCAGAAATAATGGTGCCTTTCATTAGGCACGCCGGAAGGTTGCGTGTCCAACTTACTGCACAACCACGTGTACCCCCGGACCGCCGCCATCCGGACGATCTATTATCCTGTAAATCCAGTTTTGTTTCGCGCATTCCGAGTCCAGTTATGCGAGTAGTGATTCGTTCGCAACGCTCCCTTTTAACTTAACGGAATCGCGCATTATATACTCTTTCATCTCGGTTGATAATCGGTTTCACCGACGAGACACGATACGACACCTCGAATTGCTCTCCTCGTCGTCGATCGGATCGTCGAGCGCCCGTGCGAGAACCGACAGAACAATTCGAAGGTAGAGAGACTCTCGAACGGTAGTCGTTACAGAGGAAATTGAGCGTGACGCGTTGGAGAGAGCAATGGGAAGACGTCGAACGGTTTACACGACTGCTACTCAAATATTAGATTGGCAAATATTGGACGTGCAGCTGTTTATTCGCGCAAAAGTGTACACTGCCTGATAATTCCAGGTCATTGTAAGTTTATCGTGGCGCATACGTTTCCTCCCCACCCCGGCGACGGCGGCGGCGGCGGCGGCGCACATAAATTTGAATTCCATGACGGTCGAATGGAACGCAATATTTTTCTACACCTCCATATTTATTCCCGGGCGACCGCGTCGTCTCATCGGAAATCACTTGAAACGCTGGGCAACTGATTACCCGATGGTTCCACCGGCTAATTAACATTCGCGCCGGGCCCTCGACGAACCGTCGAAATCGATCGGAGACCGGCGCGCACACGGTAAATCAGTTTGAAATCGCGCTCGCCAGCTCCCACGACCGGATTACAATAAGAGGATCAGACCGTGTACTTTCCTCGTATATAAATCTATCATTTAAAGCCGATGGCCACGCTCCCGAGATCGATGCATCCGAATCGGTTTTTACATTCCATTCCTCTCGGATCCATTAAAAAAAAAAATAGCACTCTGATCGATTAAAAGACGAGTATACCAAGTATGAAATGCTCGTACGATATTACGATGAAATCTGTTACAACAAACAATGAGACGACTCGACGATCTGCATCGATCAAACGCGTCGTTCGACGTTCCCAAGTGTCTAATAAGCGTTCACGCGTGGCGATCAAGAATCGTTCTATGAATCATACGGGCGGCGCGCGAGAGCTGCTCCCTGGCGAACGGCGAACGGCCGCGGTCACGGCGCGGAAAATTGTATCTTAGAAAAGCACGCGGATGAATTATCGTGTTATACTAATTCACTGGCCGCGCGTGCACGAGGAGCTACCGCGCGCGCGTTTATGCACCGGTACAGACGTGATGAACGCTCGACGAGTGTTTCGTATTCCTAGCGCGCGCGCTAACGAAATTTATGGCACCGTTTGCCATACGCCGCTGCGCACATAATGCAAAATACATCGTACAACGTTTCACGCGTACACCTGCTGTTCCTGTTGGTCGCGCTCGAATTTTTATCACGATCCTACGAAAAGAAGATCGAAAGCGTTGAAACGTAGCTTCCGAGTATACCTCTTTCTCTCTCTCCCCCGGGTCGACTTTGTCGGCGAGAGAAATTTGAGGAATGCGGAGAACGAGGCAGATAATCTGTGGAAAAACAAAGCTCTCTACGGTAAAAGGGGAAAAGCGTCTGAATCTGATAAACCGATCGGTCATTATCATTCGTCGACTTTATGGCGATGACTCATAGTCAGTCCGTAAACGATACACATACCATAATTTCTCATGTTTTATTGCCCTTTAGTTCTTCTATCTGTCGACGATCTCGCGTACACTTTTAAGCGTGCACGAAAGGAACCTCGTGAAACTTATTCGAGTTTAACGTTCGAGACCTCCCCTCCGAGCAGATCCGTCCGTCGAACACTTTCACAGACGTATCTTTCAATTAGCCAAGCCACACCCTTCGGCAATCTTTTGTGAGTCGAAGGAAAAGGAGAAACCGAAAGAGAGCGGGAAAGAAAAAGAGCGACGGGGGAAAATGTTCATGTTTCTCTCGAGAAGGGTACCCTGTCTAGTTTTTACTCTTCCCGCGTCCGATGAACCACTTATGAACCAGGCGTACTTCCGGCCTCCGCCGAAGCTCTTCGAGAGCACGTAGAAACACTCCGAACGAGGAAAAAAAAAAGTTGTGCCCTCCAAGTGCACGTAGAATCGAAGAGAAATGTAAAACAGTGAAACACGTTCGAAAGATGCGCGTACGCATACAGTGTTCGTCATCCGAGTCTCTACGTAATGAACAGCTATCGCGTCAAAACGATTCTACCGATTGGTCGGTCTACTGCCGGTCGACGATCAATGCAGGAGATAGGAAATTTTCAAATGAAACCTGAATAGCCCGGAGGTAACGCGTCAATCCGATGAATGGTCTGTTTTAAAAATCCATACAACAACGGTTTGGCTACACGAGAAAGTGAACAGAGATATATTAAGACGGACGGGTCGGACGTGTTCACCCGCTGATAAGAGTTTGTTCTCTGCGATCGAAAGAGTCGGAACGCGTTTATCGACAAACACTTTGGTAAGGACAATCGAATTATCCGGAGCGGTCCGGATCTCTCTCTCTCTCTCTCTCTCTCTCAGCGAATTCGAACGAGACTCTCCTCTCGGCGTCGGCCGTGTACACTGTGACATACGTGAATACGTGTGTCCACTACACGCCGAGGGTGCCACAGCCGGCATCGAACGTGTGTAACGAACGTCTGTAGTCGTGCAGCAGACAAATTCATTCGAGCCAGCAGCATTGGCAGCGTGATATCTTTCTATGGGGGCTATTTTCTCATCAATCCCAATTGCTTTTATGAAACGTGACTCACGCGTGAAAAGGTCCGCACGCCGCGAGGCGAGCCCGACTCTCCCTCACGCGTCTACCCCGACCTCTTCTCTCTTCAAATCCACAATGTACCTACTACACCCATATACGGTCATTCTTTTTCAGAAAGAACAAAAATCGAGAATGGTCGATGCGAGATGCGTCTCTTTTTCTTATAATTCACGATCGACGGTCTATGTATAGGCAACACCAGTTTCCTAGCTCGAAACTGTTTTCAAACTACCGTTCTACATACGTACAATCGTCTACCTCCACGTAAACATTGAACAACGCTTATCGCGAACATCGAAAAGGAAACGTTGTTTCTTTCTAAAACTGTGGGGAGGAGAAACGAATGCTCGTACAGACCTTTTCCTTTCATGAGGCGATGACGATTTCTGACCGTGTAACAGTAAGTTTTCTGTCCGGTGGAGAAAATCGTAAAATATGTTAGCAGCATATGGATATCGCGAGCGTACTTTCTAAAATCAAACTCCCTCGAACGCGATGAACGCGATGAACGCGATTAAAATGAACAGAACTCGAACCGTCGCGGGACTAAGACATATATATACCCATTCGCTGTTTGCAACGGTGCGACACGGGCACGGATAGTCACGGTTTATCATTTGCAAATTAACCTGACGTTACGTCAAAGTACAGTATCGTAAAAAGTCGAAAAGGAAAGCGACGCATACTCATTGCTCGACGTCGAGACCCATTAGAATCTCAATTCGGAGCTACCTGCATTATGTTCACAGCGCTTAATGGACGAAATAAAGCGTTCCATAATATCATTTCAGGCATGCACGTGCATTAACGGCCACCCGGGTCTGGCTAATAATCCTTTTTCCCACGTCTGAATTAATGGATCGCTCTAGCGGGCTATCAGACGCGGTTTGCCGAAACCAAGCAATTTCCGACATGCTAATTCTGGACTCTTTACGACGTTCTCGGTTAAAACGGATAATTATTGGTAATCTCTGTTGATCACTTGGAGCGACGTTGTATTTGCTCTTCGAAAACATAGACGAGAGACAGAAAAATGTACGGCGGAACGCGTCGCAGTAAAACGCAGACGGAGTCGACTATGGCTTATCAAACTCTGTTTCGCGTATCTACGAATGCACGCCAAGACATTAAACGCACGGATAAGTATTCCATAAATGTAGTCGCCTATTTAACACGCAGGCCGTGCGTCCTTGGAAATACCGGATAGACACTTTTTCGTTCCGGCGACACCGCCGACTGATCTCTCGCAGCAAACGCGACGTATCATCGGCGGTTCGGCGAACAGAGAGAACTTCGGGAAATCAACAAAACTGAAAAACGCGTCTATGGACACGTTTAATTTTACAAGTTTTCATTGAAAATCCCGCAGGAGATTTTGTCCGTTTGCTGCGTGGCAATGAAACGTTAATTATCCAAGTCTCAGGAATAAACAGCACACTTTGAATTTCAAAGATGCGATAACCGATGATACACTATCTGTATTTATTGTTTCGTTGTCCGTGAATTCACGGTTCGAACGAATAACGGATCATCGGTACGTTCGAAAATCGAATCGATGGCGGACGAACGACAAGCTTATCGTGGAACTGCTCATCCATTTAAAAAAGCGACCATATTCAACGAGCTCCGACTGCTTTATATTCAAACGGGATAAGAGACGTTATCAAAATGTCGCCCGATTCCGTTAACGTCGCTCTTAATTAACTTCCTCTCCCTTTCGTCCGGTTCGCTCGGATTTCGCCAGTGAAACGCGAGGCACGCAGGCACGTAAGCCGAACCGATAACGACGACGCGATCGATAATACAATTTGTCAATCGTCTCCGTTCTCACGTTCGCACGTCCATTCTACCAGGCAGGATACAAAAAAATTGGCAAACAAACTCACCATGCTTTGACTCGGATAAGGACCTCTCCTTCGGCGAGGCCGGGCTCCGGCTTCCTCAGCGCCTTGACACTCTTTAGACCTCCGAAACCGTTCAGTACTATGGCCCGCATGTCCTTCGGCTCCGGCGTCGGTTTCTCCTCGCCGTTCTCCTTCGGTTTACTATCACCATCGCCGTTCTCCTCGACTTTCTTCTCCTCTTCTTTATTTTCTCTTTGCTCCTCGTTCTCGGGCTTCGACGGCGCCGCTTCCTGCGGTGGTTTTTCACCCTCGGCGCTCGGGCTTGTCTCGTTCTTGTCCTCTGCCATTTTTCTCGAAACGATTCTCTCGGTAAAAAGCGCGCGAACACCGACGAAAGTCTCTTTTTCTTCGAGAATACGTGTGTGTGTGTGTACTCGCAGAGCTTCGACGAGTTACTCGGATCGCGTATCGAAAACCTTAAGCACGTTTGCACCCGACGAGAGCCAACGTCGTTCTGTTCCGCGTAATTTTCTGGCACGGCACACAGTGGTAGGAACGCTCGCTCGCTCGCTCGCTCAGTGCCGGGTACACCGGCCGGTGACGCGCGCGGTGTTGCCGTTGCTTAGCAACCGCGCGCCCCTTCTAATCGACCAATCACATTATTCGCAGCCTACTCCTTCGCCTCCTTCGCCGACGTCGTTCGCCGGTCGCCGGTCGCGACGTTAAGCTGCGTCGCGCATAGTACGACAGGTGCCGCGAGTCGTAGAACATTATGTATATATATATATATATGTGTGTGTGTGTGTACTCGCAGAGCTTCGACGAGTTACTCGGATCGCGTATCGAAAACCTTAAGCACGTTTGCACCCGACGAGAGCCAACGTCGTTCTGTTCCGCGTAATTTTCTGGCACGGCACACAGTGGTAGGAACGCTCGCTCGCTCGCTCAGTGCCGGGTACACCGGCCGGTGACGCGCGCGGTGTTGCCGTTGCTTAGCAACCGCGCGCCCCTTCTAATCGACCAATCACATTATTCGCAGCCTACTCCTTCGCCTCCTTCGCCGACGTCGTTCGCCGGTCGCCGGTCGCGACGTTAAGCTGCGTCGCGCATAGTACGACAGGTGCCGCGAGTCGTAGAACATTATGTATATATATATATATATACTGTTCGCGATTAAAAACTAGTCCCCCTCTCTCGTGGAAAAAAGTATTTTTCCCTGTTTTTGACGATCGTCTTCTGACGCGAAGCGACGACCCCATAGAAAGTGAACGATGGGTCGTCCGACTTCCTAGAATCAATTTTAAATGCATACGTTCCAGAATCGTGGCATTGTACTACAATAATTACGAATATGCAGAGGGAAAAGCAAATGAACATGCCCTACCTCGACGAGCAATGTCATCAAGGACGTTGGTAAAAAATATAGCCGTACCGTTGTCTCATTGCCGGAATGTCCAGTCAGCGACCGTTATCATTTTTCCCGAGTGATAGGGCATGTTTTTAATAACATTTTACACGTGTGTACACTCGACGCGAGATCGACGATTATGATCAATAAACTCGTCGTGTACGCACAGGAACAGGTATCCCCGTAGCGTGAAAATGGCTGAAATCGATATGGTCGAACGCGGTATGTGCGCAAATTACATGGCCGGACGGAGTTTGTCGTTCGCAAATAAAACTTATACGAATCAAGCCGATTCCGATACTGATATAATTAATTTTCATCTGTGATGAAACACTTCTCGAGTAAAAATTATAATAATCAAAGCGTCCGAGAATGTAAATGAACCAGAGACGCGACAGAGGGGCACCGGAGTCTGAAGGATACGCCTTTGTGGCGTGAATCACCGACTCGGACGCGTCCGAGAAAAACTCGGTTCCTTTCGCATCGGTAGCTAACTGCGCCGTCGAAGAACAATGGGGAATGATCCGATAAACGCGAACCGCGTATTCGCGATACATTTGAAAACAAGCTTCGAAATGTATTCGCGAATTATCGATCGCGTTTAAACCACGTCGCGGGTTCTTCATTGTTTTCAGAGTGGGAGAATATGAAGAATTCCGAAATCTTCTCGAGGCTCGATACACAGAAGATCGGTAACTAATGAGAGTCGGAAATGATCTAACGAGGAACAGGAGGTGGTAAGTACGTACCAGGAAAAGCATTGGGAAAATGTTTATCTCGTCGGAGGTCCTCCCGGTCCTCCTCCTCCTGCTCAACTAAAAGTAGTGCCAGCAGACGACGCCCGAATTGCATGTGTATCCTTACGCCGTGCACATTATGCGTCGCGTCGAATAAACGAGTACATGTACATACACGAGACACGAAACAGCCGCATCCTGCCTCCTAAACCTGAATAGGCTCTTCGAAATGTAATCTTTTTCCTACCCTTCGTACACACTTTTAACTTTCACGATATTTTCTCTGACAACGATTGTCGAAATGAAAAATATATTACTATTTTAAGGGGTTAAGTTCTACCAGGCCTGGATCTCTGCTTCGTTCTCCTCGAATTTTTTAATTTGCCACGTGAAAATGAATATTTTCACGAGCGAATAAGCAGACGGAGGCGACGGATCGTAACGGGAAAACCGTCGACCATCGTACAAGTTTGAATTCCCGAAACAATTGGACCGAGTAATGAGAATCATGCGCGAGTGCAATGAGGATGTGCTGATTGGGATGAATGGCTCATATTGTCGGGAGAGCCAAAAGCACCCGGATAACCCAGAGCCTGCAGAGTACAGAGACTCTCTAATCATTACGAAATGTCTTGTCTGGTATTCCTCATTGTATCACGCTTACACTCTATTGCCTGTTACAAAGATACCGTGACCGTAGCATTAGTTTCGTTTATTTCATGAGAATATAAAGGACGGCGGGGATCATGTCGATCATTTAATTACCAGATAAGCTGAGACTGTACATACCGATTTATATTTCTAACCGTTTAAATATAAAGTCGATCAGCTGCCCCTCTCTCGGTGTCCATGTTCAAAGGTCTATCAATCTTTTTCGATAACGATGCGACACAGTGCTTATCTTTTAATTGTGCTTCACGAAAGACTTCCCTCTGAGCTACCATCTGTTTTGATAAAGTTCCATTCAGAGAAATAAAACAATACGAGAAAATATTTTGGGGAAAAAAGTGTTCAAATCGTAAGTATAGAAGCGCGATAAAAATTGGTCGTTAAATTCTATGAGATACATTCGACGAACCGATGAAAACGGAATCTGGTACTACTGAACGAGTTGACTTTGCATTTCTGAAAGAACAAGTCACGATAGCGCCGCACACGTAGGTGGTCGTCGCCCGAGTTTTTAGGTTACGTTACGCTCGTTTGTGACACTCTATCGTACATACATGACTCGAGGCAGACAGTGAATTGATAAAGCATAATTACTGGATGCCTTGAAACTGATACGCGTGCAACAACGTGACGATAAATCTGCGTATTTTCGCTTCGTTACGAGTGTGTCAGGAGCTCTCGTACTCCGTCTCCACGCAGTAGAATAGTAGGTGCATCGCATCAGCTGATTCTCCCACCCTTTTATGTTCCTACAGAAGTACCGAAGCAGGAGCAGGAATCGGCACCGAGTATAATAGAATTGGTTACGCAGAACTCACTGTTTTACCACTGTCAACAAAGAAATCGTCGTAAACGAACGGTGTACAGTGGAAGCGGTATAGAAGCCAATGGCAGATCATGAAGTTGTCAAATCGAAAAGGTACCGAAACAAATCTTACGATTAAACGCGTTCTCGTAGTTTAACTGTCATCCGTCTTTTCTGATTCCACGGGTCTCTCATTGATTTTTTCCGTCGGGCTCGGTCGGTTTGATCTTGGAACCGCTAGTTTACCGCAAGTCTCGGTGACGTTACATCATTGCGATTGCACGATCTTTCGTGTGAGAAATTCAAATAAGAAACAGACCCTCCCGATCTCGCTCCGTTTCGTCGTCGACGAAGACTGTCATTAATAGATCTGTATTATAGATATACGTATACGTGGATGTATCTCGTAATGATAGGTGTACGATGATATATAAGAGGGAAAAGATCATGGAAGTGAACGAATTAACTGTCACGTTGGGCTGTCGCATTTCAAGGTCACGAGCTGAACAATCTTAGCATGAGTAATCTTAACCAAAGAGACGTGTGTAATAGATTCGATTTGTGGTTTAGTTTATGTAAATGTGCATAGGTAATTCATCCCTTCTTGATTCACCCGTCGAGCGATTCATGTAGAGCGATTCAGCGGTCGCGTACTTCTGCTCGTCACGCTTGTCAAGATTGTCAATTTTTCAAGTTCAGTGTCATTTAAATCATAACACCACACGTCACATTCATACCACATAATAAAATGATTCGAATCAATGGTATGTACCTCGTTGAACGTTACTTTGAACCTTGCGTTTAATAAATAAATACTGTCGAAAGTTCATAGAGCACAACGTAGAATTAAGAAACGATAGCTTGTCGCTTCATCATTCGTATTTCGTAATTCATAACCGATTGTCTTTCTCCATTAGCTGGATTTGGGAATGGTTTAGCTGGTCTGGCACATCTTCAACTATGTTACGTGCTGCGGAGAAGAAAATTCTTTCATGTGAGTCCTTTTATCACGTGGATCCACTTACAGTCGGGAACAATTTTCCAACTTTTGTTTTGTACGGTACAGGTTTGAGGACCGCGTATCGAGGATGGTACGTCGACATAGGCCCGGTCGTGGGAACGTCTGATAAAATTTGGACCATTTCCCTCAACGAGGAATCGCCAAAGATACCGATCGTCCTGCTACATGGCTTAGGAGCAGGAGTAGCGTTATGGTGTCTAAATCTCGATGCACTGGCATCTCAAAGGCCAGTGTATGCCATTGACATACTAGGTAAAATCATACAGAGCAAGTTTTTAAACTTTATCTCTAATCTTACGATGACCAGACGACACGTATCTCACTCAAATCCGTACGTATGGTGCAATCATCGCGTAAGTGCGTATCATGTTCCAACATAGAACTTTTTGGAATCGCAATTGTGAGAAGAACAACGCTGCGCTTTCTTTCCTCTATATTTGCAATTCGCTATCGATGAGATTTCATCTCGCGTATAATTATTAAATATTATTTCGTTCTCCCACACGTCTCTCACAGGTTTCGCATAACACGTTTCGTTACTTCTATCCACAGGCTTCGGCAGAAGCAGTCGCCCCGTTTTCAGTAACGAAGCGCACGTGGCTGAGAATCAGCTGGTCCGTTCCATCGAGGAATGGAGGAGGGAAATGCAATTAGATAAATTCGTTCTGTTGGGTCATTCGATGGGCGGTTTTCTAGCGGCCTCGTACAGTATGCAACACCCGGAAAGGATCAAGCATCTGATCCTTGCCGACCCGTGGGGCTTCCCTGAAAGACCCGTAGAACGAATCGCGAGGGCACCCATGTGGGTGAAAGTTATAGCGTACATAATTGAACCGTTGAACCCGCTGTGGCCGGTGAGGGTAGCAGGGCCGTTCGGTTAGTTCGTCGCGAGATACCCGATCGAATCCATATCGTTGTGATCGATGATCTCAAGAACAATATCATTCTCTTCAGGGCAATGGTTGATCGAGAAAACGAGGCCGGATATAGTGAAAAAATTTGCGCCTGTACTGAAGGAGGACACGGCCGTGGTTTCGCAATATCTTCATCAATGCAATGCCCAGACACCGTCGTAAGTAATCGTTAAACGTATCGAGCTCAATGATCGTGTCTGTTTCGATTCGAATTCGATTTTACTTATGACAAGGGGCGAGGGTGCATTTCATGCGATGATGCAACACTTCGGTTGGGCTAAAAATCCTATTGTAAGAAGAATGGACAAGATAAATCCCGAGATCCCCATAACTCTACTGTATGGCAGTCGATCTTGGGTCGACAATTCGTCTTGGGAAACACTGAAGCTAGCTAGATCCTCGTCTTACATCAATGTTCAGGTACATACATATAAAGGTGGCAGTAGAAATGTAAATCGTGAAATCGACGATTGAACTATGTTTGCCATTTTCTAGGCGATAACGGGAGCTGGGCATCACGTTTACGCCGACAAGAGTGAAATTTTCAATAAATACGTACTGGAAGCGTGCAATGTGACCGATTCGATGTCCCATTTGACATCGTCGAACGTTCGTCCGAACGTTAAACCGTTAAGCGAGCAAGACGTGACGCTTGCTTTGCCGGAGGGTCTGGTTGACACGAAGGCCGTGCAGGAACAGGAATTGAACACGACGCAAACACGATCTAGTTGAAACTTAGCTTAAAACCTTTAGCGCTGAATCGTACTTGTTTGCTTTAACGCGCAGTCAAACTGCGTGACATGTGGTTTAGATTAGGTGTATGCGTATGTACAGCAAAACATACCAAACAGCAATCACGCGTTGACTAATATTATTGTACAATTTAATTTCTAATTTATACGTTTTATGCTGTTAATTTTGTAATTTATAACACGTTCACGATCGTTCCGAACGTAACGGTACACTCGCTCCTTAGTTTAAGTTCACTAATACAACGATGCTCACTCGCCGCATCACTCGAATCGCCGAATCCCGAATGAATCAGATGCCAATACTTTTCTTACGATTAGCGTCACGATTCCCTCTTTTACGAATGTAAGTACAAACGTGCACTTTAATGTAGGTAAATCCTAAGGAACAGTAACGGTAGGATTTTCACGCGACTATTTGTCATTGCAGAAGCGAGTGATATTCGATCGAATCGAATTAACGATGGGATCAATAATTTGGATGATAAACATCATGTTGTAAATCCTAGTGGAAAAATTGTACGTTCTGTACAGATGTAATATAGAATAAAATTACCTGTGAAACTGATCTGTATCCGTTGTTCGCAGTTGATACGCCTCCCTCTCTGTGTAACGTGTGTCCCAAATAATTTGTGCATCGATTCATTATTAACGTTTTTTATTCAACTCCTCGTCACATCGTTCGTCGACATCGTCGTCAACGTAATTATCATTCTCGTTGTAGTAGAAGTAGTCGTGGTCGATCTCGTAATCCTCGTTATCGTTATCATCTTCTACGAGATCGTACATTTGTGATTCTTTGTGATTCTTCAATTTAAGTTTTCGCTCCTTTCGCTTGTGCTTCAAGAATTTAATGAACTGTTCCTTTTGCTCTTCCTCAGTTAAGGAATCCGAGACATTCTCTGTTTTTACTTTAAAACGAGAATCCGACTCTAGATTTTTCACTGCTTTCTTCGGTACATTCAATGAAGCTTTTATCTGTAGAAAAACAATATGATTATCAGTCTTTTCGATGCTTTCGATGCTTTCGATGCTTGAACGGTTCCGACAAGGTACCTTCGTCATAATCCGATAATGATCTAATCCGAACACATCGTGTTTCATTACAGGTATAGTCACACTGAAGACCTCCGCAGTTTCACCATTTTTATCGTTCTCTGTTCCCGCAGTAGTAGCGTCGACAGTCATTGCCGCGGAAACAGTGTGACGCAAGACATCCGGATATGGATTTGGTACATGATTTTCGTTGAGGCCCAATTGCCTCAATTTTTCTTCTACCTCCTTCAATAGATGGACACCTTTGCATTTGACAAATTGAATCGGAGGAACGCGACCTATTACACGAAGTTTGGACAGCTCTTGCCTCAACTTGAAGCCACACTTCTTGAGCAACTCCTCCGTGTCTGAATACTTTGTGGACATGTCGTGGTCTATCCAGTACACGTTCAACAGTTTAAAATCTGGAGTCACTTTGATATGCGAGATTTCCATATTCCTATTCAGAATCTCTGGCTCGATCTCTCCAGTGGACATGATATCCGTAATATACTCCATGAAAACTTGGTTCAACACAGTCATTCTTCTCAGTGTATGCACCGAGAGACGCGTCTTTGGTTCTCCGTGAGAGTTCATCAACGGCTCCAGTGGACCCCTGAATTTATGAACAGTTTAGATAAAGAAATACTTAATGGCATGCACAGTGAAACTGTATGCACCTCTTCGACTGGCCTTTCTTTATAAGTTTATCCATAAACTTAAATTCTCTTGATTTATTGCATTTTGTGCAGTCGGTGAACACGCGTCGAGATACAAGCTGCAGTCGTGTACTTCGCACTTTGATGAAAGAATACATTTCCGACTTGCACAGGTTTACCGCGATATTTTATTCAAAGTATTTGTCTAATACACGTGTGACTGTTATAGGTTACTTACGTTACTTACGTTAATTATATCACAATTCGTTAGTCAAAGTATATCGTTCATTTCAGTTTTTAAACGTAGCTCAGACTCTGGACACATCAGTCACTCTACACAACTGTCGAATATACATATTACGTCACATTTGAACGTTAATCGTCTGGTTCAGGAGAGAACTGTACCATAATAATACTACTCTAATAAATTTCAAGTTTCTCTCACTTACAAGATCTGAGGAATTTCTTTCTCATCATTCCTCAATGATACCAATGATACTAAAGACCGGGGTATCGCACGAGCCGAAGATGCCAGTAGATGCCACCAGATCACACCAGATTGACCAGATACCAGATCGAGAACGGGGACGCAAGCCGCATGCTGCGTAGACTATGTAAGAGAGAGAGAGAGAGAGAGAGAGAGAGAGAGAGAGAAGGCGAACACCTTACATCGGTATTCCTCCGATTCTACACAATTTCCCTCGAGCTCCAATCGCACTTCAGGTTTAAACTTTACCTCACGTAGAACAGGTGTTAACATATAAAATTTCCGACTTTTATTCTTTCTAATTTACTTGCGAATTACAATACTATGTACACGTACGCATAAACTATTCAATAATTATTACAAGCCAATAAAAATTCTTTACAATTTTTATCTAAAAGAAGTCGTTAGAGGAACTGCCATAATTGCGTAGAAGCGAAGTATGTACTACATACATACATACATACATACATACATACATACATACATACATTCATACATACATACATACATACATACATACATACATATCATGTATCATCGCCTGACTGAAATTACAAAAACCTTGCAAATTCATTATTTGCATGTAACAGCGATGTTAACAAATCGTTGTCTGTATACTATAATTACATCACGACTTCCGTTCCCGGGAATCCTTTCACATAGAAATGACTCATTACGAGAAATTGTTCCGCACGTCTCAGCAAAATTTCTCTTCCTACGTTTCCTAAATTCAATGTTACTTTAATCGTTAACAGCGTTAACGTTCGTAATAAAAAAAGACAGACTCAATGAGATCAGAAAATCGAATTTGAAAAAGCTTAAGTCTAAAATACGCACCGCTACGCGTGACTAAACGAATTAAACATCGAGCAACGCGAATAACTTATCGTAATGTCCGAAGGACAGAGAAAAACACATGTTGACAAATTTCCTTCTTAGCAACTCGAATTAAATATCACCCAAAATCGTGTTCGCGCGCCCATCGATCGAGGGGCCGATTGCCCTCGCAGCATGCTTAAATCTACTGGTAAAAAATAAACTTTCATTTACCGTCTACCTATGGCCGTAACTGTTACAAAAATTCAACGTACATACATCATAATCACAAGTTACACACTAGCTCGGAGAGTAGATAGCTGGATCCAAGTATCGGTTGATCATCGAAATCGATAAATAGAGAACTCAAATGAATCATTTGTGCCCACTACGATTTATCACTCTTTTCTCATATGAGACAATAAAATACTTACATAACGTGAACAAGGCTACGTTAGAAAGATTAAAATGGAACTATCAACTAAAAAAGAAGTAAGAAAATGCCCAAATTACTTTCTCTACGTCTCGGAACGCGGTAGTTCGATCGAAATACTTTCAACTGCAGGAGAAAGCACTGGAAATATAACCCTGGCTTCGGTTTTCCCAACGTAACAGTATCGTATTTACTTACGTACGATACGAGGTGTCGGGCTCGTTTGCTCCTGACACAATTGTGCATGCAAAACGAACATCGATCACTTCAAGCCGCACAGCCAAGAAAGAATAATGCATCCTCGAAACTAATAGCCCGATCGACTGTTCAAAGAAATTTCTCCTCCCTTCTAACGATCTAGCTCGGCGTCCTTTTAGTGATTCTGTGTGCGCCGTTCACCAATTATAATATCCATTTTGCGCGCAATCACGGTCGTCTTTTTAATCGGTGACGGTCCCTCGGACATCTCCACGTCGGTTTCGTCGGCTAAAAGTCGCTTGCCAACGGACTTCTTCGGATCCACGGAGATCATCATCTTATTAATGGCCTCCAAATCCTAAAGGTAGAAAACGAGAAAATAAAAGGAAAGAGCTCGTCGTACGCACGTCAGACGTATGGAAGCGCGAATGAAATTTACCTTGGCTGGACTACGACTGAAACAGTAGCTGAGCTGCGGCGCCGGCGAAGCCGAGATGGCCTTCGGGTCCAGCGTACGGGTCATGATACTACTGGTGACCCGTCTCACCGGCGAACTCGCGGGTGGTTTCCCCTTCGGCAGAGGACTCAACGAGAGATTCATCACACTCCCGCGGGCCAGTCCCAATTTATTCGCCACCTCTTTCACCTGCGGCACGTAGACCGTGTTATAGAACTTGATCAAATCGCCGCGCGTCTCTTCGCCGAAATTCTGCGACGTTCCAGCCATGTTCGTGGGCGTCGGAGGTGCCGGTTTCGTTTCCTGTTCCGACGTCTCCCTCGGTGTCTCCTCGTTGCTGCTCTGCGTCGTCTCGCCGGACGACGACGTTTTCGCTATAAGTACCGATCTGTAAATGTGCGACTCCGCCTGCGGTTGCAATCGGTAACATCGCATTATCTCGGTGAACGAGTTCTTCTCCATCTTCGCCAGTTTGCATATCACGTAAATTGCACACATCAAAATCTGATCGAGATGACGATCCTTCATCAGCTCCGTTCTCTCTTTGATCGAATACTCGAAGATCGTCCATATCTTCTTCTTCAAATCGGTGTCCATGATCTCCAACGATCCGCACAGGTCCAGCATGCGTACGCTGGCCAGGATGTAGAACTTTCTGAAGAAGAGCGCGACGGAACCGGTTCGCTTCGACTTTACCGCTTCCCGGTTGACCGTCACGGTTTGCAAAGGAGTCGACGCGGCCTGTATGGAGCCGGACGATCTGGGAACCGTGATCTGCTCCGGCACCAGAAGTATCTTCGAGTTACCGTCGATGGTCAGCAGCTTCGACGCTGGTAGAACGCTCTGACCGGTCACTCGCAGGATGCTCTGGCCGCCGACTCGGGCGTCGGGGAACAGACGTTTCTTGGCCAAGGAAGACGCAACGGGGGACTGGAATCTTTCCGATGCAGAAGAGATGGGACTTTGTTGCACGTCGTGATGAGTGCCACGATCCAAAGCGATTCTTCTCAACACTGGCTGCCCCGGGACGTTCGGATCGACGGTGTCCAGCATCCCGGGCAAAGAGACTTCCTCGCAGCTGGGGACACCCCTGGACGTGGACTCGATCGCGGCCCACAACGGACTGTCGCTCTGCCACGCGAGTGACTCCAAGATCTTTTCTTCTATCTGATTCAAATGCTTGACGACGTCGCGCGAGAGCTGGTCCTCCGCTCTGACGATGATCTCTATCACTTTGTAGAAATGATAAGCGGCCAAATTGAGAGCGTTCAAAATCCACGGGAAGACCTTGTCGTTACTTTTGTACGAGTAAATAACGATTTCTAGACAGCACGCGAACAAACACTGGATGAAGATCTCCTGCGTCAATAGATTCTGCAAATATAATGAGACAAAAGTTATCGCGTCGATTCCGGTTTCGCTTAATCGTAAAACTTGGCCTGATCAACCAACCGTTACGTCGTAGTTCGGTTTCTTCCCTTTCTCGTCGTTCAATATCGTTTCTAAGAGTCTGTAGAAAAGGGTCTGGCCGAGGTAAAGCCTCTTCCTCCCGAAATCCGAGCTCGTCTCGTTCACGTTCGAGCTCTTATTGTAACTGGCGCAGAACAATTCTCCGAGCTCTTTCACCTTCGTCTCGACGAACGTTTTCACGTCCTGGGAACAACCGTTCAGAATTTTCAACAGACTCTCGCTGGACGACGTCTGGCCCGCCAGCATCGCCTGAAGGCGGATCACGCTCTGCGTCGCGGTGGACACCGGCGTCACGTTGGTAATATCTTTCTGAGGTCTGAGGTAACTGCGTCCGGTCAACGGCGTGGTTGGCGCTAAATGTTGAATTTGCTATGAAAATTAAAAGAAGCAAACGGTTCTTAACTCCCGGTCCCGCGTCTTGCGCCGATCCTAGCTAGGGATCCAAGGTACTCGATCACTCACCCCGCTGTACTGTTCTCTCTTTATTTGAAATTGCTCGTGAAGATCGCCGACGTTCATCATTTGCGTGGGAGAGCCGATGTTATTACTGGCATCGTGGCCTGAAATCGAATCAAATTTTGCATGACGCTCGTAGAAACGTACGGCCATCCGTTAGCATAGCGACGACGTTAAATGCGACTAGAATTGATACAACCGGTACATGCCGAAGCAGGATGCTGTTTAGTGCCGAATCAGTCGATTATTTCATATTGCTTCCTATCGAACATACCTCTCAGCGAAATATGTTTAGACAATTTAGCGTGGCAAGCTAGGTCCCCGCCAACTACTTCCAAGCTCGATATTCCGTTCAATCTTATTCTTCTCCAATCAGCTTTATCACAGCCAAGACAAAGCGGACACGAATTTGGTTAACAGCGAGAAGTGTATATTGCACAATGGTAAAATTAAAATTAGAATTAAAGATTAAATTAAAAAATAACAATGAAATGAAGATCGCAGATTAGATTGGCATCGTTAAAAAAAAAGAAATAGGAAGATTATATAAAAAAAATAAGAGTTACCAGCCGTATTTATCAAGGAGCAGCTCCGAGAGAATACAAGCGTATCTACGAGCTAACTTCGAATACCGAGACGACGGATACGAAGACTTTCCGTTTACGTCACTACTCTTACAGAGATTTTATTATAGAATGTATCTATATCCGATTCGGCGCAATATATACTTGTTCAAGCAGGAAAGACGAGTAAGCACACAGACGTACGATCTCACTTCTTCATTTTAAATGTGAGCAAGTTTACGGATCGATCATTTGAAAAAAAAGATTACCTAAGAAAATCCTCTCATCGAAATCTCCGACACTGAGCACGTGTTGTTCATAAACTCTGTTGACGGCCTTGTTGTTGCCATCGAAATTCAAAGCTTCCAGAATACCAGAGAAGTTCGACTGGTCCCCACGCAACACTCTCTCGTTGAACAGCTTGTCGATATGATTCTTCAGATAATACTCCTTAATTACTTTAGCTTCGACCGCGATTGCTTCGTGACGTTCACACAACAGACTGACTATACAGTTCGCCGTTTGAGGCGGAGTGTAATCTTCATCGTTAAAATTCGTCGGCAAACCTGGCGAACAATACCGAGGTGAATATAATGGCATTCCAAGTAAACGTATAACAACAAACATTTACCAGAGAAATTAGGATTTAAGAGATCTTTCCTGTTGGCCAGCAGAGCGTTGCCATATATAAGATCGCAACAGACCAAGAGGAGGTGATAAGAATTGACCAGATCATCGGAGATATCTGGGAACGCTCCTTTTACGCAGACGAACAACGTCCAGCAGAACTCGAACACTCTCGCGGGAGTGCAAGGCATCGCCTTGTGCCTTCGAGATCTCGGCGGTCTCGAAACATCATCCGCCGGGTCTTTGAATATGTCCGTGAAAATTGGCTGATACTTTCTGAATATAACCATGGATACAGCGAAGTTCGCCTCGAGCTTCTCTATCTTGGACCGAAAATCTTGCGGCATGTTGGCCATGTCCGCCCAAGACTTACTCTTCGTGAAGAAATGTATCAACGGTAGATTGCACAATTGTAATAGACGTGTGAGCGAAACGCAATTGCCTTCCACGTTAGTGCCGGTTTTTCCAACAGTAGGAATAGACGATTTGCGGCAGGCTACGTACAATGCACACCCTATCCAATGCAACTGGTCACCCTGGGAACACACAAAACGTTTCGTACATCGTATTGCGGTATTGTCAATCGGCGACGAATAACGGAGATGAACATTTTAGGTGGTTTTAAACGAATTTACGAATTCGACGATTCCTCGATAAGCCTGATCAACGTTCTTCGTTTTACTGTTTAAAACTAGTGCGCTTTAGTGGTTCGATTGAAACAAAAGCGCGAATTCGACGATGTTGAACGTCGAACCAAGAGAAGTCGTCGCATCGTAAACAAACGATGATCGGGATGTATCGGCGATTCGCAAACAAAAGACGATGAAAGTGCGGGATTTAAATTTGATCGGCGAACGATCGGCGAGCTACTCGGTGCAAGGAATCATTCAAAAATTACCTCCAGAGTGTAATTTTGTCGAATAGTCTCGTAAGATTTCCAGGCTTCGGATGCGGCGGTCGCATCCATATTCAATTTTTGACACAGATCTTGGTGCCGATTATAAATAGAGTCTTCCAGGTCGTCCGACTGTCCCATTTTCGTCGGTGAACTTGAGATAAATTACAAGAAAACACAATTAACTTGTACCAGTACACAACCGAGGTGTGCCATACGAGTGCTCAGTGCGAGGGCTTGGTTGGCGGGAAACGACACAGGCTCAGCCATGTTTTGCCAGGTTGGCGGGAAACGTATGATATAGGATGCGGTGATCATATAAGAAAAAAATCCTTAAGTCAACGTTGCGCGAATCATTCCGTTCACAGAATACGTACGATACATACGTACGATATTCTGTGCAAAGCAATCGAGAAGTTTATTGCGCTGGACAGATATTCGCATTGACGTATGTGTAGTATACATGCATAGTCGCGTCGTCTTATTGGAACCGCAGTGGAATAAGCTTAGAATAATGAGCAATAACATCTTGTTTGCACTGGTATTTTACAGTTTTGAAGATTCTTCATGGAAATAACATTGTTAAGTATTACTCGTTAATGTTTCATTCGTATCCGCATATCCAAGTTCCGGTAGAGGGCACTATCGTTGCCTCTCTAAAAAATTTTGCTTCAAATTGGACTTTGATGCAGGGGTCTCGTAATTTATCCCACGAGGCTCGCTTCCCCTGTTTTTCGCCCGTATTTCGATCCCCACTACTATTCCCCTCATGCGTGCTCATGCGCGTTCGCGAAGCTCTCCGCAGCGCTACCGTGAAAATCACTGCATACCCCCACCAACTATTGGTCCCCACCATGGTCGCGTCGTCCCCACTTTCCGGCCGTGGGATAAATTACGAGACCCCTGCTTTGATGTTGCGAGGCGCTCGTGGCGCCATCTAGCGCAAATGGCTGCAAATAAATACTTTGTATTAGGAGAATATATTTGCAGCCATTTACGATAGATGGCGCCACGAGCGCCTCGCAACATCACGTGACGTTAGTATAATTAGAGAGGCAACAATAGTGCCCTCTACCGGGACTTGGATATGCGGATAGTGACTTCTACTGCCGCCCTAAAAATCCCTTGGTGTAATGCGCATGTCAGTGTCAGTGATTGACGTCGTCTCCGTTTTGATCAGTGTCGTTGTCGTCAGTTGTCGTCAGTTGTCGTTGCATTGTCGTTGTTCATCGTTAAGCAGTTGAAAGGTGTTGAAAGGCACACGTGATGGAATTAAACAGGGCATAAATAGATAGAATCCAGGACCTCGTTCATTTATTAACGGTAATTAACAAGTCCTAATTCTAATATCATCGATCAACTTGTGACAACGATCACCGATATTAATGTCTGTCTCGTGAACTCTCCGTAAGCCACGTTATATTTTATAAATGAAACACTTGAGACTTGTTACAAATGTCCTGCATTAAACGTATTGACTTTATTTTAAAGAGTCGAATCAAAATGGTAGCCGGTCCTACGGAGCACGGCATACAAGCCGACGTGATATTTGTAATTGAAGGAACCGCTGTCAATGGAGCCTATCTTAACGACCTGAAAACCAATTACCTTATACCTACACTGGAGTGAGTACTGTCTTAATAGAAGATCTTGCTTTGTTCATAGATACCTTTAATTAAACATGTTTATTGCACAGGTACTTTAGTCAAGGTGGTATAGAAGACAGGGAATACGTCTCTGAGGTTAGATAAAGAAAATTATTTCCTGTACTTTACGCAAGTCCTTTACTGACATTTGATAATATTTTTTAGCAAAACAGTACGACACTCTATGGGATAGTAATATATCATGCTGCCGATTGTTTGCCAGCACCGTGCACAGAGACTTTCGGTCCATACGCGAATCCTCACAAGTTGCTACTTGTTCTGGACAAACTGGAGTAAGTAGAAATGAGTTCATTATGTTAAGAGACTATCGGAGTTGGTTGACGTGTGATTTTATATTCGAAAAGAATGGTCGGAGGAAAGGGAGAATGTTTCGCGAACATCGGCGAAGGACTTGCGACCGGTTTACAATGTTTCGAGGATCTACAACTACGACGCGAACCGAACACGGCGTCGCAGAAGCATTGCATTCTGATCTGCAATTCTCCTCCTTATCAAACGGTGATACAAGAATCGTACAAATTCGCTGGCCACACCATAGAACAATTGGCTACGCTCTATCAGGAGGTACACGCGATACATAGTTTTCATAGGAGTTGCAAAGTTCGTACGATAAATCGATTTTTCTTTTTCAGAGGAACATCAATCTTTCTATACTGTCGCCTAGAAAGATACCAGCTTTGTTTAAATTGTTTGAGAAAGCCGGTGGGGACTTGCAGTCGTCCCAAACGAAGAACTATGCTAAAGATCCGCGGCACTTGGTACTGTTGCGTAATTATAATTTGAAAGAGAGGCCCGTTAGTCCTACGGTCGGTGGAGCTGTTCATTCCACTGCCGCCGGCGCTGCGTTAATTCCGCTCAGCCCGTTGCAGAGCAACGATAGCCCGAATACGAATCAGGTTCAGCAGAGCATCGCTCAACCGACTCAGCCTCAAGGTGCTCCGTACAGAAATCCGACCCCTCAGAACATCGCTTCAGTTCATCAAACGGTAGTGCCGATAGGACCTGCTATGAACACCGCGCGACCTCCGTACAATCCGCAGATATCCGCCCCTCCGACTTATCACCCGACACCGGCAAGAGCTACTCATACAAGGTGGAGACCTTTCGTCCCATCGGGAACCACAGCTCCAACAAACACGCAACAGAGCAGTGCTTTGATAGCGCAATTGAATCAGCCGCCACCTTCGATGGCGCTCAATGTTACCGCGTTTGGACAAAGGATGGACGTGGGTAACGCCAACGTCATGGCCGCAAATACGCAGCAGCAACAGACGCAGCAGCAGCAGCAACAGCAACAGCAACAGCAGCAGACGCAACAACAGCAGCAGCAGCAGCATCAGCTGAGGAACTTGACGATGCAATTGCAGCAGCAACAAAACGTCCAACAGAACGTTCAACCTTCCATGCCTATAACCGCGCAGCAGACGCATGGCCAGGCTGCGGGACCGCAGCTTACAGTTTCGTGCGTCAGCCAAGCGGTGCCTACTCAGGTGCCGCAAACGGTCACCGCGTCTCAGACACAGGCACCCGTGTCATCGGTCACTCAACAGCAGCAAATAACGCATTCCCAAACGCAGGTGAGCGAGAGTCAATTATTACTGTTTTAAAAAAATGTACATACATGGCATACGGCCGAAGCGATGCGAATGATATTAATGCGATCGTTAAAGGGTAATGTAACTGGTCCTGCGGTGGGGCCCGGGCCGCAAATCAGCACGCCGCGTGAAAGACAGACTATATGGCAAGGTATCATCGAATGGGTAGACAAAGCTAAAACGACTGCGGACGCGCAGAAGCAAACTAGACATCTCCCTTGTCAAGTTTCCGCAAACTCGAAGGACGGAGAACCAGAATTGTAAGTGTCTATCGAGAAAAGCCGAACACGGAATATTATGATGTCAAATCCCCGTTTCAGGAAAGCCGACACGTGGCCACAGAAGTTGATCATGCAGCTGATGCCTAAACAATTGATAGGAAACATCGGCGGGTCCTATTTGAAAAACTCCAAGTCCGTTCTGTTTCATCCGACGCCCTGCGAAGCTCTGGAGTCGTTGACGAAAGTGATGAACTCGGGATTTGTTAGTAGTAGATGATAAATTCTACAATTGCCCTGAGTGACCGAGAATTGGTATATACAGGATTGTGTTTCAGGCCGGTTGTGTTCACTTCACTTTCATGCAAGGGACAACGGCTTGCGATATAAAAGTACTTATCCTACTTTATACGGCTGAGAGAAGGACCTATCTCGGATTCATACCAAACGATCAGACAGGCTTTGTGGATCGTCTTCGGAAAGTCATTCAACAACAAAAAACATCGCACGCTTCCATTAGACAAGGACAGGTAAGCGAGACACATTTTGAAGCGTCTTTCGGAAACGTTTCAACGATGCAATTTATTATTTACGTTTCAGGCCGGAGCCGCTCAAGGGAACACGATCACTGGACCCATGCCGACTACAGGCACTCCGCAGGGCGGTATTCTGATTTCGCAAACGAACACTATAGCCATGGGAGGAGGCCAAATAACTCAGAACGTAGTCTCGAATGCACCGCAGCAGACGTTGAGCTCGTCCGCCGGGCCACAAAATCAGATAACGATGCAGGTGAGATTCGCGACGAGCGCATAAATAAATTTAGACGACGGAGTTCGGAATGAAACGTATGGAACAATCAAATAAACAGTTTGTTTTATTGTCACGCAACAGAGTGGTATTACTGGCGGTCCGCAAGTGGCTCCGGCTTCTACGATGATCGGCCAGCAACGACCACCGTTCGCGGATGACATAGAAATGGCTAGACACCAAAATTTATTAAAGATCCAACAGCTACGGCAAACGTTAGAAGCCGCCCAGCAACAGGAGGCGCAATATAAATCGTTGGAAGTGAATGTAAGCTAATAAATAAGTATCGTACACGAAACGCAGAAACTGATACAATAGTAAAAAAATATTGAAGTCGTGTGTATGTATATGCTAAAGAACAAACTTCACTGGATTCATTCGATCTACCTTAACTTTATAGATTCAACAGAATCTAGAAGTAGCACAGCAACAGGAAATGCAATATAAACAACAGTTGGAGGTGAACTGTTTTTTAGAAGTTACAATACATTCTATCGCATAGATTCAAGCAAGACACGAGGAGGAATTGAACCGACAAAATTTGTTACAGGCTCAACAGGCCCAAAGAGTGCTCAATCCTGCTGGTATGGCAAACCAACAGGCGAACGCGCCGAGAGTGATGCGGCCCATTCCCAACATCGGTCTCAGACATCTGCTGCAGCAAGTACGAATTGTCCTTTCGAATACACGAACAAATATTAAGATCGTCGGATAGATGTATAGAATTTTATCGTAAATCGAACGGTGCGTTTTTGCAGCCGCAGCCTACGTACAGACAAGTGCTTGGAATTCAACAGCAAATGGTTCCCAGGGGTCAGATGACCACTAGGCCCATGGCTCCGGGCAATCCTCAAAATCAGCAATTCGAGGACGTTTCCAATTACGATTTCCTCGGATAGATGATTTTCAGAGTTATTGTTTTGTAAATATTTTAATCTCGAATAAATCGTAAGGTTTTCTAGTTTTATTATAATTACGGATAACACGAACTAGTATTAATAAAAGCTGTCGACGTACTCCTGTCATCTTCCAAGTCCTCCCTTACCAAAAAAACGAGTAACGTTGATAAGAAACCGATGATATCGACTGAGAAGCACGTGGGAAGCATTGGATAATGGATTGGCAACACGTGGTGGGAAACCTGTTGCTCGTGTGAGTTTGAGAACGGAACGTGAAGAAGTTATTAGACGTCGTTACGAAAGAAACGCATGCAGTACGTAGCTATTACTTACTATATGTAACTTTGATTGCACATTAAAAATGAGACAATTATCGTGTTGACAAGATAGCAAATGTTTTGTACAACTGTGACGTAAAACGGTAGGATAGGCGAAATGATGAAGAACATGTGTACATACAGAATTTCAACAGATTGACCTCTCGACATCGCCTCGATGTTGCAATTACAAGACTGATAAATCGAGATATCCTGACGATTCGTTTGCCAATTCACTGGGGGGTCTCGTTGAACGTAATCTCGTTCAACAAACCAGTACCAGTTCCGTGATCTTCTTGCGATTCCTTCCTAGATCGATTCACTTCGTATTTCATTTTTTAGATCATGGGTATCACAAGACTGTACAAGAGTCCTGGCTTGAAACCAGGACAGGTGAGAAACAAGTGTGAGAATCTTAAACGGAAAGTAGCTCAGATTACTGATTTGCAAACAGAGTTGTGCTATTATATTGAAACTAATGAATCTTTGACTGAAGAGGAATCGAAAGTGCTGCAATGGATCTTATCTCCGCCTTTAACGTCGAACGATTTAAAAGACACGAGTATATTCGACGAGAAATCGAGTAACTGCCTTACGATAGAAATCGGACCGAGGTAAGGCAAACTGTAAAAGGATCGCACAGTAATTTTATTAGACTACGTTTCTTTGTAGATTGAACTTCTCGACGGCGTTCTCAAGCAATGCCGTGTCGATTTGTAGATCTGTACGTTTAAATAAAATAATAAGAATCGAAGTAGCCATCAGATATCGTGTTTCATACGAGAATGGAGCAATCAACGAACAACTCGAAGCTGATGTATGTAAACGCACCATCTAAAATATTTAGTCGTGTTAACATCCTTACGTTTGCTCGTCGTCTAGATTACAGACTTGTTACACGACAGAATGACAGAATGCAGATACACGAAACCGTTGGATACGTTTGACCATGGGTTTCGACCGGACAACTGGTTCGAAGTCGACGTTCTGGAGGAAGGGAGAGCAGCGCTGGAAAAAGTAAACTCAAAGCTGGGCCTGGCATTCGACAATTGGGACTTAGACTTTTACACGGATTTATTTCTGAACAAATTGAAGCGGAATCCGACGAGCGTCGAGTGCTTTGACTTGGCGCAATCCAACAGCGAGCACAGCCGCCACTGGTTCTTCAAAGGTCGTATGATCATCGACGGCGAAGAAAAGAAGGAGTCTCTGATCGATATGATCATCGAGACACAGAAATACTCGAATCCGAACAATACGATTAAATTTAGCGATAACAGTAGCGCGATCAAGGGATATCGAACAGAAACGTTACGTCCAGGCAAGACTCACGTGTGCAGTCCCTTCCACCTGGTGAATGTGGACCAAGATTTAATATTCACTGCGGAAACTCACAATTTCCCAACCGGAGTTGCTCCGTTTAGGTAAACGATTCAGTATCTGTTTAGGAAGGACTTCCATTAAAAGTTTCGTTATACTTCTCACACACACAGCGGAGCTACAACTGGGACCGGAGGAAGATTGAGAGATATCCAAGGAATAGGCAGAGGAGGACATTACATTGCCGGAACCGCAGGTTACTCGGTTGGCAACCTGCATATTCCAGGTTCGTAACAAGATGAGCTTACATCTTTTCAAAGATTTAGTCAGTGATCGAAAGAATGCAGTCTCTAAAATTGCCGATCTCTTCAGGGTATGATTTACCATGGGAAAAGAATTCGCTGTATCCTAGTAACATGGCTTCTCCGTTGGAAATAATAATCGAAGCTAGCAACGGAGCGTCCGATTATGGGAACAAGTTTGGCGAACCAGTCGTAGCTGGGTTTGCTCGTTCGTTTGGTACGACGGATGAGAACGATGTGCGGCGCGAGTGGATTAAGCCGATAATGTTCAGCGGAGGATTGGGTACCATGGATGCGGACATGTCCCAGAAAATCCCGCCAGGAAAAGGTGATAGACAGAAAGGTGATCGTTTAAATAAAATTACACAGAATCCTATTGACCGTGATCGTGTTTGGTATCAGGTATGGAAGTGGTAAAAATCGGTGGTCCCGTTTATAGAATAGGCGTGGGAGGCGGTTCGGCCAGTTCTATCGAGGTAATTTGTCATTGCAAATAGCGATAGATAAGAAATATTGAGACAAAGATTCGTTAGGTGCAAGGCGATAACAAATCGGAATTGGATTTTGGAGCTGTGCAACGAGGGGATCCGGAAATGGAACAGAAGTTGAACAGGATGGTTCGCGCTTGTACCGAGATGGGATCGCGAAATCCTATTCTCAGCATACACGACCAAGGCGCCGGAGGCAACGGTAAAAATATGCTTAAAAGATAGTAGTATGATGTTATGAATTGATCAATGTTCGAAATTACTGTAGGCAACGTCTTGAAAGAGTTAGTAGAGCCCGCGGGTGCGGTGATATTCGCGAAGAAGTTTGAATTGGGCGACCCGAGTATCAGTACCATGGAGCTTTGGGGCGCCGAGTATCAGGAGAACGACGCTATTCTCTGCAGATCGCAGGACACCGATCTACTTAAAGAAATAGCGGTTCGAGAGAAGTGTCCTGTGAATTTCGTAGGGACAGTTACGGAAGATGGAAAGATTATTCTTTCGGAGGAGGAGGATTGCGATCCATCAAAATATTTAAATGCGAATTACAAGTACGAGACAAGGCATCCGGTCGATTTGGAGTTGGAACTGGTGCTTGGAAAGATGCCTCGAAAGGTGAACGCGAACGTAAAAGAATTTTAGATTCAACGAGGTTGAAACGATCGTTTGATGTTTCTACAGACGTTCAATCTCAAAAGACTAGCAGTTCGGTTACCTCCTATGAAACTGCCAAACGTAACTGTGGAAGCTGCCTTGGAAAGAGTATTACGTTTGCCGTCGGTAGCGAGCAAACGCTATTTGACTAACAAGGTTGATCGTTGCGTTACCGGGTTGATCGCGCAGCAACAGTGCGTCGGGCCGCTGCACACTCCCGTTGCAGACGTTGCTGTAACAGCGATCTCTCATTTCTCCACGGTAAAAGAAACGAACAGAAAAAGGGACGAATATACGTATGAAACGATGTCTTATGACTCAGGTTGGTATAGCAACTTCGATTGGGGAACAACCGATAAAGGGTCTGGTCGATCCAGCGGCCGGAGCTCGCATGTCCGTGGCAGAAGCGCTGAGTAACTTGGTCTTCGCACACATTTCCGATATTCAAGTATCAACTGTTCCGTTCGGTTTACAACAGCGAATACTTTCCTTTGTTACATACCTTGTACACTTTCCAGGATGTTAAATGCAGCGGGAATTGGATGTGGGCTGCTAAATTGCCGGGAGAAGGTGCCGCGTTATACGAGGCGTGTTCCGCGATGTGTTCGATCATGAAGGAATTAGGAATCGCGATCGACGGTGGCAAGGATTCTCTCAGTATGGCTGCACGGATCGGAGAAGACGTCGTGAAATCGCCAGGGACTCTCGTAGTTTCTTGCTACGCTCCTTGTCCGGACATTCGTCAAGTAAATAAAGTTAAATCCTTCCACGAAGATCGGACGCTTCAGCGTTTGATATTTTCGTAGGTAGTCACACCTGATCTCAAGGCGCCCGCAGCTGGAGAGAACGGTTACGTGCTCTTCGTGGATTTGTCGAACGGACAGAATCGAATCGGTGGCACAGCCTTCGCTCAGGTTTACAATTCTCTGGGCAACGAAACACCGGACGTGGATCGTTCTGACACGTTGAAGAACGCTTTCCGAGCTACTCAACGTTTAATAGCAGGTATAGCATCGTGTTTGCACCGTTATTCGCATCTATTCACGCATCTTCTGTGGCCCGTAGAGGGGAAGATACTGGCAGGACACGATATCAGCGACGGAGGACTTATCGCGTGTCTTTTGGAGATGTGTTTCGCTGGTATTTCTGGGATGAATCTCAATATATCTCACAAATCGGGGTCTGCTCTCGAAGTACTCTTCGCCGAAGAACTCGGATGGATATTGGAAGTGAAACAGACGAATCATAATTACGTTTTGGATGTATTCAAGCAGTTCAAAGTTCCCGTGTATCTGATCGGACGATCGGAAGGCTTCGGATTATCGTCCAAGGTGTGCGTCTGTCGTGTCAGATTGCGCAAGTGCACGAAGTCAGTCGTTAATTTATTTTCTTAGGTGAAAGTTCGGGTGCAGGAGGAAACGGTTCTGGATTCGACGGTGTTATCGTTGATGTATTTATGGGAAGAGACCAGCTATCAATTAGAGCGTCGACAGAAGAACGTCGAGTACGCGCTCGAAGAGTTTACTGGACTGAAGGACAGAACTGCGCCAGCTTACAAATTAACGTTCGATCCCGATGTCAGGCCCCAGGTTCCTGTTCGGAAAGGTTCGTCTTGTCAGCGATTAGATTCAAAGCGGAGGGAGTTTACAATTTTTTAGTATTTGTACAGCCAACGTTGCTGTTGCTGTGATAAGGGAGGAAGGCGTAAACGGTGATAGGGAAATGGCAGCGACTTTGATGCGAGCAGGCTTCGAAGTTTGGGACGTAACGATGCAGGATTTGTTGCGAGACAAAATTACTTTCGACAGATTCAGGGGTGTCGTGTTCCCTGGTGGTTTCAGCTACGCAGGTATGACGCAAGTACGACGCAACTACAAATTCGAGGGAACGTGAGAATCAAGTGAGATCGATTCCAGACGTACTGGGCTCTGCGAAAGGATGGGCAGCGAGCCTTTTATTCCATCCGTCTCTACGGAAGCAATTGAAAGGATTTATTTCGCGCGAGGACACGTTCAGCTTGGGAGTTTGCAACGGCTGTCAACTGATGTCTCTGTTAGGATGGATAGGAACTGAAAATGACGAAGAGGCGAACGTTTTCCTGGATCACAACGCGTCGGAGAGATTCGAGTGCCGGTGGAGTACCGTAAAGATTGAGAAATCACCGTCGATCATGTTAAATGGTATGGAAAACAGCGTGTTAGGAGTGTGGATCGCTCATGGCGAGGGAAGGTTTACGTTCCGTAACCACGAGGTTTTAGAGAAACTGAAGAGAAGTCATTGTCTGGCTATTAAATACGTGGATGATTACGGTAATCCGACTGAACGGTATCCACTTAATCCTAATGGAAGCACAGGTAACGGCGTTCATCAAACGGTTGTGTTTCGCATTATCCTGTAACAGCGCAAATCCGTATAGCATAGTGATGTGCAATTAATGACTCGTTACAGAGGGTATCGCTGGTATCTGCTCCACGGATGGCCGACACTTGGCGGTGATGCCACACCCCGAGCGTTGTACGGAAATATGGCAATGGCCCTGGAAGCCCACCGACTGGAAATACGTCAATTCACCATGGCAGCGTATTTTCGACAACGCTTACGCGTGGTGCGTGTCGAAATGTTGATCGATCACATTGTGCGTTTTGCGAAAGTGCGTACGTACACGCACTCTCCTCCTTTTTTTTTCTTTCAATAAACTATCGCGTCACCACGCCGTTTGACAAGTCTTACACTATTACGGATCAAAAATCGTTTATTTCCTAAAGTACGGTAACGTTGTTTTATCAAATATGAAAAAAATAGTGTGATTAAAGTTCGTTGCTACTTAGCTCGTGTTATTTAAACGAGTCCTGCCTGACTTTGAACAACTGCGGGAAGTGATTCGTGTCGAAGATGTCCTGTAAATGTAAATCGCACCGTAATATCACAACACCGGAGGGATTCACTTTAACTTTTATCTTCGTTTGCGGCGTGAGGACACCGTAATTCACGTCTTCGTACAAATCCTGGAAACGTGCACCGGTTGTTTTACGAGATTCTTCGAGGAGATCGTTCAATTACGTACCTCTACGCTGTATCCACCGGGATACTGGAGTCCAAGTTCCTTTAACGTGACAGACACGTCGGACGGCGTGCCGTCCGTCCTTCTGTTCACGAATGCTATAGCGTACGAGAAGTAATTCTGATTAACCGGAGAAATTGGCCTCGCCCAAATTTCGATACCCTTGTGCTGGAATTACATCGATGTTTCAATACGCTCGGCGCGTTCAATGTCGATTATTTACGCGCAACAATTACTGACTTTGTAAATACGTCGGCCTTGGATGCCTAACGGATCCTGGTCCACGGCTATGATCTTTCTATTCTGTAGGATAGCTTTGTATTCCGGCCTGATCGTTCGGAGATCGACGGACATCAAAAGCGGCGCGGCCAGAATCGCCCACAACGCCATTTGCGTTTTACTCTGTTCGTAACTGAGCCCGAAGTTACCGATGATCAGCATGTCCGGATCGTTCCAGTGGCCAGGACCAGCGTTCGGCACGATTCCGTCCTGATTATTTCCGTAATAATCTATAATGGTTTCTAAACTGTTCCAGGAGTCTTGAATGTCGTCGAAATTTCTCCAGAGGTTACAGTTCTCCGTTATGGCAGTGTAATTCGGCTAAAATTTTGTACAATTTAGAATCCTTTGATCCTTCGAAACGGACACGCTCCGCTGCGGATACCAACCTGCATGCCGGCATAGATCTGATAGACTGGCCAACTACAAGAGTACACCATAGATCTGCCGGTTTGATTCAAGTAGTATCCAAACTCGGGATATCCTGTAATATTTTATTAAAATAGAATTGCGAAGCTCGTGGAACGAGCGATCAATCGAAGTATACCTCTGTCCATCTCAGAGGGCTGGGAATAACATCCGTCCAATTTTACATAGTCAACATCCCACGCTGCGAAGGTGTGCGCGTCGGCCTCTAAGTGTCCTAATATTCCTGGGTAACCGGCGCAAGTGTAATTACCGAAGTCCTCGTAGATACCGAACTTGAGACCTTTCGAGTGAATCTACCGATTCGTATAGAACATTTTTATCGGTGCGAACAAATAAAGATAAGATCATTGTACGAGAACCTACGTAGTTCGCGAGACTTTTCATGCCATACGGGAACCTCTGCCTGTCGGGCACTAACTGACCATTGACGTCTCTGTCTTTTTCCAACCAGCAATCATCAACGTTGATGTACTCGTACCCAACTGCTGCATAGCCCTCTGCTACCACGATATCGGCCATAGTGCGAAAAAGTCGATCGCTGAGGAAACATGCTTTTCGTCATCATTTTCACAATACAATGTATTATGAATTCTTTTCGGCTAGACTCGTTACAAGAAAAGATTGATCTTTCGTCCGAAAGATGTTTCAACCGTTACATACATATTCATTTCTTGTTAGTAACGAAGCCTTGGACTAGAATAGCGATTCAGAACGTGTGCGACACGGCTCTGAGACGGCTCGCGAAGAATTATTCTTAAAGCATCGATGATTCGCGTAGACTCTGTTAAGTAATTCTGCTGTAATCGACATCTTATGAAATTAATGATTGAAAAGGGAAAAGCAAGAACGTTTCGAACTGCGGTGGTACCCGTCTAAAGAAATCTGTATAGAATATTTTCACACCGGACTGTAATCTCCAGACACAGAGGTATGTAACATAGATGCTAATGAAGTTTCACTTGATCGTCAGGAGTCAGATTACGCTGATGAACACAATGCGTGCACTCCAGTTTCCAAGCTACAAATAAATATCGAACGAAACGATTTTGGAAAGGGAAAAACGCTCTCACCTGATGCAGTTGTCAGGATCGTTTTTGCAGTCCGTGTTGCACCTGAATCGTTCCCATGCGAGCCATCCCATCGGCGGTGTTTTTACCAGACCATTGTCAAGGGCCAACGTTAAATCTGCCACTGACACGATCAACCACCACGTCCATATTATCTGCATCATTCTGCAAAAATGCACGTTTCGTACTGTGAACTCTTGGTACGACGAGAAGAACTGTTCACCGAACGCACGAAGCACACGATGAGTAGCACGAACGACTGTTCGATCTGTACGAAAATCCGTTTGATGCGAACGTGAGCGATGAACATGAGACGGCCACGACTGTTTCGCCTCGTGTTCGTGGCGTTTCTAGCAAAATTGAATCTTGCTCGTTGCTGGGACGAAACGAAACGATGACCGAAAGAATAATGAAGAGAGAACAATCTCCGTCGAAGGAGATCTGATCATTTAAAGGAGCGTGGCAAACTCGTCGTGGACATCCTGCACTGCTGTTGGCAAAGACTGGCAAAGACTGATCTGATATAAGACTGTAAGACCTCCAACTCCGCGCGCGAGTACTTTCACCCAATGCCCCATTTCATTTTTACACACGATCACTGTCGCTCGCTGCTGGTGTGAGAGCATTGATTTCCTTTTGTATACGCATTACCGCCGAGGAGACGGCCTCGTACACCGACGCGATCCCATATCCCATCGTCGTAACTATTACGATACGATACATCGCAATATCGCAATTACGCCCACCAGAGACAATTGCCGCGCGATTGTTTGTTTTTTCTCTCGTTCAATTAGAGCTTGATACATGTTTAACACGTATAACTATGTGAATCGAAACCGTTCTTCCTTTCATCGATACACGATTTTATCATCACATAAATCGAAGAACGTAATTTGCATACATACCGGGACAGAGAGTCGAGGGATAATGCGTACAATTTAAGAAACGTAAATTACACAATTCACGAGGCTAGATATTCTGTACATACACGAAGTTAAACTTGACATTTCAACGACTGAGAGGAAATAACGAGTTACTTGACTTACATAGACTCCAACACCAAATGGCATGTTCAGTATATACGGGCTTGGCTTCGGCCGATACAAGCCGGGAATGTTTGTTTTAGAATGAACGTGAGGTAAAAACGAGGTAAATAACTCATAAAAAAGAATCTTGACAGTCGAAGAACGGGTCGAAGCGAAGTTGGAATCGTTTTTAATAAGCACGTACGAAGGAAAATGAATGATCGTCGATGTAACATGCTCGATCCTTGATTTCCATCGGGGTTTACGCCGCCGCGTTTACTTTCCTTACTTTCATTTCGATTACCTAATCGAGAGGAAAAATTGATCGCGTGTGCCTTAGACGCGGATTCTCCGTGTTGCTTTATCGATTCAAGCGACACTGCAGTTGAAAGGTATATTACTTTTGGTAGTTGAAAAGGTTTTACATGCACTTACCTCATTCTCTTACCTCTATGATTTCGACACGTTCAACTATAAACACGTTTTAATAACTAAAGCTGCACAACGAGAAAGGTGCGCTCGGTTTCAAATAATTTCTTATTTATATGATTTCGTTGGAGATACGACACGAGGCGATTAACTGATAGCGTTGTTGAATAAATTCAATCGATCAAATTTTTATCTCCATTGTGAATACAAAGAGAAGATATACTTACACGAGACCTGTGGATTATATGATTTTAGCGTAAACCAACTTTCACGAGACATTGGCGTTTGTATACTCGAAAATTTATATGCACAAAGCGGAGATAGTTTCCCGTATCGTGCGACGTTCCGTAGATAAGAAATTTTTCTATGATAAAGTAGTATCGGAATCTATTCACAAAATATTGATCAATATCGATGCAGTCATCGGTTTGTCACGGATCGTACGATGCATAAATCTCATCGATCTTTCCTCAGTCAGATAAACTCTGAGCATTGATTTTTTAATCAATCCCAAGTGTTTGCGAATAAATTCCATTGTCCGAAAAGAACTGATCGTAACGTCGTCTCTTCTGTACGCGTGAAACAATTTCCGTCGATACGTTTGGGTATATGGTTAAATTATTGAAATCCATACATACGCACATATACAGACACGAGAGAGAGAGAGAGAGAGAGAGAGAGAGAGAGAGAGAGAGAGAGAGAGAGAGAGAGACGTTTCCACCGATTTCAATCCCACCGTAATCGTCATGGCGCGGGGGTAGTTTGACGGTGGCGCCACGGTACGTCGCGCCATTGAACCGTTCATCCCCCATCTTTGTCGTGTGCTCTTCTTTCTCCGTTCAGTCTCTTCCCTCTTCCCTCGTTCCCGTTCGGACGTCCAGAACCCCCAACGATATCCCGCAGCCAACCGTCGTCACGCGGGGCCGCCGGGGGGACGGACAGTCGGTTTTAGTTTACCTGGTAAAAGGAAAACGTGTTCGGCACCCCAGCCGCGCGTATCTGTGCCGCCCGCGTGCAACCTACGTGCCTCCGTAACCGACTTCGATCATCGGTTACCCCTAGGATCTCGCGGGACATCTCATGTGAGTAAACTCGAGCAACGTCGCGCGTTTCCGACGTATTATGGCGTGGAAGTGTTGGTGGCCGAGCATTGCAGTGGCATCGTTCTCGTGCACCGGGATACACCGCCGCATCGTCGGCCAGCTGTCTTGAATCACCGTCGGAACATGAAGATACCACCCCTGTCATGACCTAGGTAACGCCAATTTTTCGTTCTTCGCTCACATTCAACGGATCGCGAATCGCGACAGACGTTGCATTTCGTTTCGTCATACGCTTACGATTCGAAAGCTTTTCTTCCAACGCTTTTCAACGACGTTCCGTCGTACTGTCAGGCCAAGGGGGCGGGGGGGGGGGGGGGGGGGGGGGGGGGGGGGGGGGGGGGGGGGGGGGGGGGGGGGGGGGGGGGGGGGGGGGGGGGGGGGGGGGGGGGGGGGGGGGGGGGGGGGGGGGGGGGGGGGGGGGGGGGGGGGGGGGGGGGGGGGGGCAGAGTTTTGTATCGAGGCGCGTTTCCTGCAGTTTCCTGGTTTCAAGATGATCGTGGTTCACGATGATCGTGCCAGGGTGCATCTGCGATCTGTTGGTGCGTAACACCCTCGGAACGCTCGACGAGATCAGTGACTCGAGACGGTGCGTGTTCGAGCACGATTCTCATTGATTTCCGTTGATTCTCGATGACAGTGAGTGCTCGACGTCGTGCGGTTTCATGGAGGAATCGGACGTTCGTTTCTACAGCACATTTCACGTGCCATTGACGTGCAACGAGCGCAAACGACGAAACGTATGAATGGGTAATGGCGGCACCCCGAGACAATAATTTTAGATAGTGAAACACATATAGCGCTGCGATCGTTCCATTGATCTGCATTACGTCCAAGTTCATAATTTCTAATTATCAAAACTCTATGCTTTAACCGTAATCCAATTTCACGGTCTTGCGAAATCTAAGAGATTGATCCATGTCGAAGAAACAGCGGAACGGTCGAGCCCGAAGACTGGCAGGCTTTTATGCAAAGTAAGACATTTATGGTAGAATTTTGTACGATGTAATTTAGATGGAAATCTGTTCAATCATTTCGATATGCATGCAGCTTCCGATGCGATTCTGTATGTACTCGGTCTCGTTCCGAGTACATCGAATTCATCCACTTATTAATTGGCATTCGCTACTACGTCCAGAGGTTGAATTACTTTTTATTACAGTGCGCGCGTGGGGTTTACGTAGCACACGTATGCCTTGAACGTGGTATATGCGTAATGTCTGTGTACTACGCGAACCGTATAATTTATTCAGAAGTAAAAGTGGCCTAATGCGGGCGCATTGTTAACGACGAGGTAAAAGCGAGCGATTCGAATGAATTAATGACCGTCTCACCGAGAGTTTAACTACTTGAACATGATCATCGGCCGGAGTATCGGCCCGTGTTCTCCTCCTGGACGTGCATCAGCAGGAACATGTTCCGCAGTTCTCTCTCGTTGAACCAACTACCAACCAATTTTGCGACGTTATCGTAGTAAGTACATAGATTTAAGCATAGAAGAGATCTCATGACGATGCTCGTCTTTTTATCTCGTTAAATTTGGTGTTTGCTATAAATTATGGCGTATGTCGAGAGGCGAGTCTCTATCAATGAGTTGGAACGTTTCCGTGGAAAAATCGTTAGTGGAGAAGCCGGTTGGTGGCCGGCCAAAAAAGCGGCAGCCATGCACGATGACGTTGTTCGTTCGTAGCCCATTTTGGTTCACTATTTACCATATTTTATCTAGGGCGACGCGGGTAAATCGATACGCGCTACTTTCATTCATGGCTGCCTCCCCTCGCACGGCTGGCACGTTGCCTCTGCGTACCACCACCGACGATCAAACCCCCGATCCCTACCACCGCTATTCCGAGGATCAGTGGCATGGCTATCTCGGCTATCTCCCGTTGCAGCGATTCTCAAATTCTCATCCCCCGTTTCTCCGCTCTGACGTCATTGAACCTGTGCAACGTGCTCGGGCAGATTGTGGTTTACCAGAAATTTGAAAACTTGAGGCGACTGTGAGAGAGGAAGTACTCGGTGCATCAGGAATTTAATTTATTAGACTAACGAGTCTCAGTCACGACGTGACAATTGTTTGGACGCTGCGGTGATCTTAGATATCGAATGAGAATCCGATGAAACACAAATGGGAGAGCGATTTGTTGTATGTGCAGTGAGTATCCGAGACGTTGAAACTTTGTAGATAACGTTCACGGAATCAAGCCGGGATTATAGACCACATTTCCAGATTCTATTTGCATACTGGGTTAAGAGGGGTTTCCGTTAGCCCGCGTTCGATATCGCGAGGAAGGAATCATCCTCTGGAATACATAATCGGTCTCATCCTCCTTCCGTTTTCACTGGGTAAGGTGTACGTCGTGCATAGGTAACAGGTTGCTCGGAACAGGCCGATGCTTCGATTGAAAGCAGAGAAGAGCGAGAGGCTCTTATAACGGTGCACGAGAATTAGCTCGAGTTCGAGTGCTCTTTTATCGGAAATTGCCAGGATGATTCAGTACCTCCCGAGGAGAGTCAAATCGAAATTCAGATAATTGTAGATTGAACATTTATTATTCGATTGAAATGTTCAATTGATTTTCACACTCCGATACACGTTCTGATTCTTCTGCTTCTTAGAACCATTCTCCTGTTTTTTACTATCTCTGGAGTAGAGAGTCGACGATACCACGTTCGTACTGCTGTCACGTTCACCACCTCCGGGGCCACCCCCGTTGACGCATGATTGCGAGAACCACCACCCCCGTCGAATGCCACATCGCTCCATTGATTCAAATCTTTTTGGGTTAGTATCACTTTATTGGATCCCTGTAAATGTAGCGAGGATGGCTCGAAGCCGTTGCCAGATCCACGGTACGCCGTATCACCTCCCACCCTGGCTCGTCGCGTCACTGCCGACACCCGTTTACACCCCCGCAAGAATATTTCAATCGCCCGTGGCTGGCTGAACCATCTCCACCCCCGTCCTGACCGTTCTCCTCGCCCCTGCTTCCTCGTCATCGGGTTACCACTCTCCTCTTGCATACGCAGTTCTCCCTCGCCTCCTATTTTTAGAATATCCCGCGCAGAATAAATGGCCCTGCGACCAGCTCGTTCCTCGGGGATCCTGGCTCCAATTCACCCGATAACAAATGTCTGCGACCGTTGATTTTCGAGTCGACTCGAATCATGCCCGGGGATCGGTGAGAGAAGCGTTTGACGAATCATTCCGTAAGATCTGTTTATAACTTTGACAAATCATTTCGTAGAAACGATCTGCCTTGGACGATCTGTCAGGTTTTCTTGATTGCAATTAAAACTGTCTTTACGATTAGTCACGCAGATCACGCGTTCAACCTCGGGTAACGTTATACTCTTGTCTCACGATCAGACTGAAACGACCTCCTGTCGTGTCCGGCAGCTTCGATTAGAAAGGATACAACACGGGTTTACGCGTTCATTGAAAAAGAAAATTAACGTTACAAAACTTATTCTACTTTGTCCACTGCCATTGTTATATGTATATAAAACTGTACGACTGATCGTTGAGAACTCGGGGGGGCTTTTGCTGACCGTAAGAGAAATTACTATCGAGCAGTAGAATATGAGCGTTCACGATCAGCCAATGAAAGTGGCTCGCCTATAAAGGTCAGTCCTCCTGTTCTGAAATGAACAGCGAAGAAACGCAGTCCTATGAAAGTCATGGTATTTTTCGTTCTCAAACGCTCAACGGCGAACAATTTCAATGTGAAATTTTCTTGTTTGCGACTGGGCTTGGCCGCAGATGCTTTCACGGCTTCGAGCTAGCTTGCAAAAACTGAGAGTTCGACTGCAGTTGCATTCAGAACTCGACTCATCCGAATCTCGGTGAACGATAGATCGAACCTTAAATCCGTGAGCGCTATACGGGCCGAAGGCATTGTTGTACGCGAACGAAAGCGGTAGTACTTGAAGAGTTTTCGGCTTCAGAGAAATCGCGATATGATTATAGTAATCGTATCGACTGAGAAAACGTGTCAATCGGGCAACCCTGAAACAGCCTCGCCTCAGCCTTAGCCAAGGTCTGAAAATCGTTAATCACCGTTCCATTAATAATTCCCGCTAAATTTATGCGAACATAAATATCCCACTCTCTTTCCTTTTCCACCACGGCGAGTCGTGACGAGTGGAGAATGTCAAGAACAAAATCTCTGCTGACATTTCGTTTTTTCTTTTTTTTTTCGTTTCGTGTCGTTCTTCTTGGAGGCCGGCCTTTCGTCTGGCCCGTTTTTCGTACCGTCGTATCTACAATTAAATAAAAGCTGAACACTTTTCTCGCGTCGACGCGGCGTCTAAAAGATAGATGGAATTCGGTATGGATCTTCTTCGAGACGGAATCTCGAGATCTCTCGACCCGGAGTCTCGAAATTGAATTTTAAAACGGATGACTGCAGTCTATCAAGTAAAATTTCACTGCAACAAGCTGCGCGCCGAAGACTTCGAAACAACGTTCGACGAGACTTACGATTAGTCGGCAGTTGGTCGGGAGAACGAGACCAGTTTCTTAAAACTTTCCCGTTGCCATGTAACGATATGCTGATGAAACTACCGTCTACTTTCGTTCAAACATCGGTAAATCTCGAGAAATTACGCGACAGAGCTGTGAACATGAAGCTTGACCGAGATCGTTGTTATCGGTTAAGAACGGGTTAAGAACGAATTAAGAACGAGTCTGCCTCGTTGTTTGCACGGACTTTGGAAGTCTGTTCTGTATTTAAATAAACGAGCTGAAAAAAAAAAAAAAAAAAAAAAAAACAGAGGAACGTCTGCGAGGAGGAACCAGTTTTACGAAAACAGCACGATTTCGTGGCAACCGGTTTCCTTTTTTGGAACGTTAAATTCGTGTTGGAACGTGACCACGGCTACGTGGGCTCACGATCAGCGAGGATTCACGACTGAGAGTCGAAGAAGATCAAATGGAACGCGAAATTGCCAAGACGAACACTGCTAACTTCGATCGGCATACGCGAAAATCGAAGAAAATTCAACGACCAGAACGATCGTCATCATCACGCTTTCGAGATATCGACGTGCAAGTTGGACACGGTGATATTATCGTTACCCATAAAATGATCCAAGAATGGAGCACTGGGACGTTTATGAGCCACTCACCGACGTCCTTGCACCTTGGACGGAATGTGGGTCGCGCCTGGATTCGTTCGAAATTGAAAACGATCATTGTCCCTCGGTTAATAATTCTGTACAGATTACACGGTAATCCGACTCGTCGAACGAAGGGAGAAGAGCAAATACATCCAATTTCCATCTCGCCTCGATCTAAATCTAGTTCGGGTCGGAGATCGTTTCCTTGTGAGTCTTCTGCCGAGCAATTTCTGACCTGACGAGCACCGTATAGGGCAGAGTCAAACCGTAAGAAAGAAATGTCGCCATTCGCCGTTCGTTTTCTCGTTCGGGTCTCTGTTTAGAACGGTCGATCGGACTCGTGACAACGGTGCGTAATTATCGCGGCATAATTATCTAGTCCGCGTTACGTTCAGTGGTGGCCAGCGAAAGTCCATTCTCGAGTCCGCGGTTCGTTCGAGACGCTGCCCACCCACGGCCCTCGACCCGTCCTTTCAACGTTTGTCCCCTCTCTTCCATGAAAATCGTTCCGTTCTGTGAACAGACCGCGCACTTTTATGCCAACTAAAACTTTTATCAACGGCCCGAACACGAACAGAATCAGATGTGACTGGTTCAAAAGTCTTTTAACATTGGTCACCGGTCGAACAGATATTATGCAAACGAGCTGCGGCGAGCACGTCCAGTCCGTCGGAAGACGGATCCTTAACGGTGCAGGTCCTTCGATCCTGCACGATGCAAACTCAATTTGTTCTCCGGGTATACCGGGTGACCTACTTCGCCGTTTAATATAGAGCGGTTCAGCAGCGGGAGAAGTGTGCGCCGAGAGCCGGGGGAGAACGAGAGCATCGAGCTCGAGGGAAGGCGCGAGGAATTTCTGATAATTAGGATTTTCACCGAGAAGAACACGCTGAATGCCCGTGTCAAGGATATCTTTATTAGAAACCGATGGTGGTTGGTCTCCGTTTTTCGGGACACCGCGTTCGACTTCCTCCTTCCCGTGTTCGTAAAACCGAAATGAATCGCGGGATAATCTTGGCTAGAATTCTTGCGGGTGTCGCGTGAGGGGGTCTGTTCGCAAGGGTTGCACAACACCGTAATCACGATCATTCATGTCCGTTCATGATCACCTTTATGGCTTGCCCCACGAGAGTCTCGCGATTCATTTAAGGATGTATTGGCTATACAGTCAATCCCAAAAGTTCATGTACCTTAGAAAAACGCATTTCCTATAATTAAAAATAGTGCATTCTTCTTCTAATTTCGATATTTAATGAGTTACATAGGATTATTTGGCATTTTATTGATGTTGACAAAATCCAACCATCCCACCGTCGAAACGGCGAATTTTTTTATAAAAATTTCGTTTTCCCACCATAACTCCTAAACTGTAGATCCTACAGGAAAATTGCATAGGACCTTTCTTGTAGAGGACAACGAGATCTACAATTTCCATGTAAAAAATTTTCGCTAGCATCAATATTTAACGAGTTATTGACGAAAAACTAAAAAAGAGTTTTTTGCAAATTACTCGTTAACTATTGACGCTAGCGAAAAGTTTTTACATGGAAATTGTAGATCTCGTTGTCCTCTA